GAGCATAAAGGAAACCCACTTTACAACATAACAAATAGGGATGTGTTCCAAGACCTTGACTGTACCCATTTCTACCACTTGTACAAGATAATTTTGGTACTCACCAACAACAGACAGTACACACAAGCACACGGCACTATCATAATGGGGATGGCAACTACAGAAATATATGCATCACAGACAACGAGCAAGGAGCACAGATCAACACAGGAGACTATATTTTGGTGCTTGTCACTCCCATAATGCACTGCACAAAGCAGCTGACTGCAGGTTTCCACCACACAGATTTCATAAGAGTGAATTTACCTGGCATATAACAAATTTTTGGTATAAAAAGGGTCATTGCATAAGAGCGAATTTGCACATACAGAACCTGCTTAAAGTGAGGGAAACCTGTATAATCCAACTGATATTTTTCTTTTCTTTTTAAAAAAAAGCCAAACAAGATACTGTGTTATCTTGCCCTGTTGTCATTAGCATACCTCACCATATCCTTTCCTTTCCTTTCCCATGTCAAGGTACTTAGCAGAATTCACAGATGCACTGAATCTGGCAGGGCCGTGCTGTGAGCACATCTGCTATGGCCTCAAACTTTCGGCTTCAGCCACTCACCCGTGTTCACGCCATGAGAGCAGGGTCCTCACTATATACTATGAATAAAATCAGAGAACCTGGTTTACTTGGGTACCCAACTTAAACTCTTGTTTGTGGTTGGTTTCTTTGCAAGTTAGCCATAAGATATTTCACTCTGGGTAACCAAAAGCATTAGCCTCTTCTGAAAACCTATGCCTGAGAACAGAGATTTAAGGTAACAAAGTTTTCTTCTCAGAAACTAGGTCTACTACTAAACACTATCTTAAAATTTAGTGCTTTTAGAGGAAAGAGCCTCTTTGCAAACAGGTATGCTAACCTAGTGCAGAGGTCTTTAAATCAAGTTCTCCAGGGGTTGGAGACCAAAGCCCTGAGGTAAATGGGGAAGTGGATGACCTGGAGGAATCACAGGCAGGAGAGGGCAACAGGAGAGACTCCCTCATTCTTCCTGAGAAAGTAGGGCAAATCAGCTAATTACCTTGGGTGTGTGTACATGAATGCACGCAGCCTGAGAAACAAGATGAAGAATTGGAAGTCCTTGCAGTCACAGAACTATGATGTGACAGTAATAATGCAGAGTTGGTGGGATAGCTTGCATTACTAGAGTGCTATAAAGTGGATAGAAAACTGGCTGGATCACTGGGTTCAAACGGTAATAATGGCTAGATGTCTAGTTGACAGTTGGTATCAAGTGGAGTGCCCCAGGGCTTATTCTTGGGGCCAGTTTTGTTCAATATCTTCATTAACAGCGTGGAGGATGGGAAGCAGGGCACCCTCAGCAAGTCTGAAAATGACAGCAAGCTGGGGGTAGTGGACATGCTGAAGGGTAGGGCTAGGATTCAGAGAGACCTGAACAAATTGGAGGATTGGACTAAAGAAATTTCATGAGGTCCAATAAGGGCAAGTGCTAAGTCCTGCACTTATTAAAGAACAATCCCATGCACCAGTACAGGCTGGGGACCAACTAGCTAAGCAGCAGACCTGCAGAAAAGGACCTGGTGTTACAGTGGACAATATGCTAAATATAATCCAAGGGCGTGCCCTTGTTGCAAAAAAAAAATAAAAAAATAACGGCATACTGGGCTGCATCTGTGGCAGCGTTGCCAGCAAATTGAGGGAAGTGATTTATTCCCCTCTATTTGGCACTTGTGAGGCTGCATCCAGACTACTGTGTTTAGTTTTGGGCCCCCCACTACAGAAAGGATGTGGACAAATTGAAGAGAGTCCAGCAGAGGGCAACAAACATCATGGTTAGGGGGCTGGGGCACATGACTTGAGAGAAGTTGAGGGAACTGGGCTTATTTAGCTTGGAGAGGAGAAAACCGAGGGAGGATTTAATAGCAACCTTCAACTAACAGAAGGGTGCTTTCAAAGAGAATGGAGCTAGACTGTTTTTACTGGTGGCAGATGACAGAACAAGGAGCAATGGTTTCAAGTTGCAGCAAGGGAAGTTCAAGATGTATAGTAGCACTAAGAGACTAGTGAAGCACTGCAACAGGTTACCCAGAGAGGTTATGGAATCTCCAACCTTAGAGGTTTTTAAGACATGGCTAGCCAAAGCCTTGATTGGGATCATTTAGTTGGGGATGGTCCTGCTTTGAGCAGGGGGTTGGGACTAGATGACCTCCTGAGGCTTCTTCCAACCCTCATTTTCTATCATCTATGATCTGCAACAAGGGAGTAGCATTAAGGCTGCTGACTGACAGATATAGGACTAGGGTTGGTACAGACATTCAAAAAGCACAAGACAATCAATCTAAGTTAAAAGCACAATTTTCTCTAGTGGTATAGTTTAGATCGGTAGTGAACAGAACACACATTTGCCTTTTGGTGGGGGGAGGGGACAAATCTTATGACTGGGTTTTGCCATTTTTAAACCAGTCTATATATGCCAAAAGTCTGTTCTGTTACAGGTACAGACCAGTTTCCAATCACTTATACTGGTAAAGGTGTAATGTCTTTTCCTGGTCTAGGATGTAGGAGTCCTTGGCGCACAGCCCAGTGCTTCATCCACTAGGTTATCTAGCCTGTGGAGCAACTACCAAAATGGTTATGTGCTAACTTGCACACTAAAGTGGCTTTTTTATTTTTTAGCATGCTTTACTGAATAAAACTACTAGTCACTTTAAGTTCCTCAGACTGTTTTAAGGAAGAGTGAAATTAAGGAAAATTGAACAGACATTTAAAACAGTTTCAGTTATTAACAAACATTCCTTCCTTCATCTCCTCCCTTCAAGTGAAACTAACTGCTGACACCTCCGAATATGCTAATATGACCTTGGCACCACCGCTCTCTTTTGTTGAAATACCTTCTCTGTAGTTGTTACAGAATATTTGCAAATTCCAATACAGTGGAAAAATAAAAGCTAAATAAAAACAAACCTTACATGAGAAGTTTAAGTAAATTTCTGAGTGATTATATACATTTATGCTAGCTGTAATATACTGTGATAGTATTTGCTGAGAACAGCACTGTTCACTTGCAGAGTCCAAAGTGTGTTGGGGACAATGTTCAGGTGCATATGGGAGAAAAACTAACTGGGAGATGCTCTTCCCCCTATTGTACGAAGCAAAGGGAAGAGTTGCTTGAGCTTCTAAAGGTGAAAGGAAAGTTAGATGACTGTGATTATGGAATGACAACATCTATGATCCTAAGGAAAAGAAGAAAGGGAAAAACAGAAAAATAATGGACTTAAAAGCAGAATGTAATAAACCAGGATAATTGGTGGGCAGGATTCCCATGAGAATAGTTGATTATTCCTTAAAGAGATGATACGAACTGTCCAGGAGCATGCTATCCAGATGTAAAGGAAGGATAGAAGATGTAGAAGGAGGCTGGTCTGGCTAAATGGAGAAGTCATTCATTACTTGGAGCTCAAGGAATCCTACAGAAAGTGGAAACCTGGCCATATTACTAAGGGCAAGCATAAGAGTATAGTAAGGGAGCACAGGAACAAAACCAGAAAGACCAAGGCACGAATTGAGATATAGTGCAATAAAGATGCAATACAGAGGCAAAAGTGTAATAAAAATAAGTGGAAGACCAAAGGAAAGTAGGTCCCATAGTGGAGAGGAGAAGCAAAGTTAAGACGACAACTGAAAAAAGTCAGAGAAATCTAACGTGTTTAGTAGCTTATTTACTTCTGTCTTCACAAATCAATCAATCAACCAACCAACCACCTACCAGATGATGGGCACAGTTAGCATGAAGGGGCATGGGAAAGACACTCAGATTAAAATAGGAAAAGAAGGTAGAGAAAGTACTTAGAAAAATGCTGAATGCTTTCAAAAATCAACAGAGCCTGATAAGACTTCTCCTGGAGTCAAGGAATTGCCTGAAGTAACTGCAGGACCACAGGGTCTTTCCCACCTTTGACAGCTCGTAGGGATCTGGTGAGCACCCAGAAGATTGGAGAAGGCCAAATAGAGTACACATCCCTAAAAAGGGGGGGGGGCGGGGGGAGGTTGATCTAGGGATTTACCGACTTATCAATCTAACTTGGATGCCTACAAAAATGCCATACCTATTTGTAAGCCCCTGAAAGATAACAAGATGGTAAAGAACAGCTGACAGATTTGTCAAGAGAAAGTTTAGCTTAACCAACCTGATTTCACCCTATGACAATGTGAGAGACATCGTGGACAGAGTCAGCAATAGTGATTTGTTATCCTCTATTGTTTACTCTATTAACTCAAGTGGTAGAGGTATGGGAAGTGGACCTGAAGATTCTTACTGTGCTGATGAGCTATATCGTGTGTCAGTGTGATGCCAGATTATAGAATGAGTCCCCTCCTCCATCCCTCTTAAAAAGAGAGAGAGAGAGAGAAGGAAAAAAAGTAGGATGTGATCATATGAAAAGACTGTCAATATACATAAGCATAATGGGCTGCATTCAGGCTGTGCTGGAAATCTTCATTCTGGCATTTCCTAATTTCCTATGTTGATTTTGCAACCTCTGTAACAGTATTTTAACATGTGTTTTCCAAACATAAAAACAATCTACAGTGGTAATTGTAAACATGATTTCCAAGTTGATGATGACCCTTTAAGACAGACCAGTTCCCTACAGGATTTTTCAAGTTACTTGCCATTTTGCAGACTAGCATCCTAGCTCATAGTTCTACTGTAGTTTACATAAATTTAACTACAAGGTAAATTGCAAAACTACAGGGGCAAATCCTAGCTCCACTAACTCCAATGGAACAGGATTTCATCTTATTCTCCTCAATTCCAACATATATAAAAAAAAGGGACACACACAATCGAAAAGTCAATTAAATCACAACTGTAGTCACTGACAAGTTTTCCATAAGATACCCCTATCCTATAGCCACACTGTTACATTTACTCTAGTTATCACGCACTTCAAAGTGCCATTACAAAAATCCCTTTGTCAAGGTAATCTCACCTGAACTTCTGAATCAGCATCAACATGTTGTAGTTGAAACCAGGTGTCTCTATTATGGTACTTCTGCAGATCTTCCTTCTGTATAGCTACTTTTCCTGGAAATAAAACACATTTGAAGCAAGTTTAAGTAAAGCTATAGTTCCACCAAGACAAAGCATAAAAAGATTTCAGTTAAAAACAGTTTATCAAGCCAGTGATCTAAGAATTATTCTCAGCAATCAAGACTTCAGAGCTAGCAAAGGACTGTTTAGCACAGAGGCCTTTACATAATGCATAATCCTTTCTGGTGAGAGGTTTTTTCCACTTCATATAATGAAAGACTAACATTCCTTGCTGCATACTCAGTTGAACTAACCATCTAGAGTACTGTATAGCATGAAACTGTTTATAACTGGGCATAGAGTAAAACAGCATCATTAATACAGGCAGTCCTTGACTTACAACGTTTCGAGTTACAACGTTTCGCACTTACAACATTTATAAATTGACACCCTGTTTCAACTTCATAACATCAGTTTCAACTTACAACATTTGATACGATGCGACGCCACACCAGTGAACAAGTTTGCTGCGTCACTCATCTCCCTGGAAAACATCTGTCCTAACTTGCTTGGACACTTTCTTTCAGAAAGCAGACAAGACTCCAGAAAAACCTGCAGCCAAGACTCCTGAGAAGACTCTAGCCAAGAGCCCTTCAAAAAGTCCAAAGTCACCTCAAAGAAGTCCTTCCAAATCAATGATTGCTATTTACGATATAAATACATTAATGTAGCTATATTACTTATCTGTAATTGATCAAGTACAAAATTCTGGGGCATTTTTGGTGAAAATAAGGTATCAGGCCTTGGTTCAGGAACCAATCCCCCATTTGTAACATTGTTTTTTTTATGAGAAAATTGGTTCCAAGTTACAACGTTTTGACTTAAGACGTGGTTTTCAGGAACCAATTGTGTCGTAAGTCCAACGACTACCTGTACTTAGACATGACACTACAGCAGTGATGGGCAAAATGTGGCCCACGGGCCGGATGCATTCCACCGGGCCCTTCTATCCAGCCCACAGGGCCCCTAAAAAATTTAGAAAATTTATAGTTATCTGCCCCTGGCTGCCCATCATGTGGCCCTCGATGGCTTGCCAAAACTCAGTACACAGCCCTCCACCTGAAATAAATGCCCACCCCTGCACTACAGTAAGCATCTTGAACTTTGGAAACAAAAGCATTTTCCTGACCCTGTCTTTAAGGACAGAACACTTCAAAAGTCTTAATGGGAAGTTCCCAGGGTTATGGCAGGATACTAGTCAGACAAGCAAATACAGGCAAGACATTCATTTTATTTTATTTCATTTCTGTATAAGTAGCATTTTACAATTACTGCAAATGACATCAGCTCAGGGCTTCTGGATTTTAATCCCAAATAAAATATATCACACACAAAACTCCTTGCCTCTCTGTTAGGTTGTGAGATTCCAGGGCAGTCAACAAGAGGTCGGCTTGAGACCTGGGGAAAGGAAAGTGCTCCTACACCTGAGTTTTCCTAAGAGAGGGAGTTGCTTGGGTGCAGGTTGTAACCAACTCTATCCGAAGAATCAGAACTTGTGTGCAGTCTGTAAACAAACAAGCTTCCAGTAACAAGCTGACCAGGCACCCAAATCTGCCAACGTTTAGCAAAGGGTCACTGATGTATTTTGACAGTACACAAAACTAAAAGCATAGACAGAAAACATTGATACAACAGGGGAAAAACCAAAACAATACACCTAGGTGGCTTTTTGAGCTGACACAGATTTATTTCCAGAAAACTTGAAACTACTTAACTCCTTACAGCAGTTTTATCATTCATACAATGAAATATCCAGAGGTCAGTCCTCTTAGCCTCATTCAGACCCTCCCACGCAGACCCCCATTTGCTGACTGCTCCCATTGGCTGTGGAAACTGCTCCCATCGTTGTCTCCACTAATCTGCTTCTGATCACAAGTTCCACCCCTTTCAGACTCAGCTTCCAAAGTGCCTTGGCCTTTTCCTGGCCACCTCCCAGGACCCTGCCTCTGGCTGGCAACCCATAATTCTATGGGGTCTCGGACATGCCCACAAATCTGGTTCCCTCTGTCCCTAGCTTATAGCGTACTTTTCCTGTCCTCTGGAAGACCCATCTTCCAGCTGAATATCAAACTAAAGATTAACCTAAAAGATTCATTACTGGCGCCTTCCTTACTGGATATCCAGAGTTAATGGCTCAAACTTGCAAGGGGGGAGGGAAGGAAGATCAAATAATTAAATTTACACAGACCTACTGTGTAAAATGGCAGAGAGACTAAGGAGAGCTTTTGGATTGTTTATAGGAAACAGACAAATCACGCTGTTGAGAATGTATATGGTAAAGAAATTATGGATGTGAATTTTGAAGCTTTCCATTTTTATGGTCAAACCATATGGAGCATCCTGACCCACTCATTTATATAATAAACATGCTCAAACATATTAACATGTAACCTTCACAAAAGTGTTTAAATCCCAATCTGAAATGGTTCGCCTTCTCTATCTGTTCTTACTGTTATTCTTATTTCTCTAATCCACTGCAGAACAATTATTTTACAATCAATGTATCTGGCAGGTTTTCACTGGTCAGTTCCATTCATACTCACCTTTATTTCATGAACTTGCCCACAGAAAACTCTTGGACAATTTAGGTCATACTGGAACATTAACAGCACAGATGCTGACTCAAAGGCTCTTCATTTACACCAGCCCTGACTGTGCATCAGAGTTTCATCCGTTTCTAGTGAGCGCTACAAGGGCCAGTTTTCACAGATCCAATGCACAACTGGGGACCTTAGTAAAATATGCAACTACAGTGGTTGGCAATATTTTTGGACAGTGCATCCAAGCACCATGAGGGTCAGCACAGAGGCACAACTGTTCTGACCAGTAAGCTCTTTGAGCAGTAGTGTGCTCTATACACAAATACCATTCTTATTAATGAGCTGAACTTACTGAAGAGGCTGGCTGTAGTCCGGTGATTTTCACTAATCCATTTAGAAGACAAATCTAGTGGATAAAGTGATAAGGGGTTTAAGGAGCAGCCTCCACCTTTTACTGTTTCAAAATTCTATAGAAATGTAACAACACTATCAACTGGGCCTTACTTGGGTTTGTTGTTTCTCATCAAACAGTTGTTTGCATAACAGCATCCTGCAGTACTTTGTTTGCAAATCTTTACTCCCTGCAGTCAATATAGTTGACTTTATTGCAGGGCTCTCACAACTGGTGCAATCTGGCTAGGTACTTCTGTGTACAGTCACCAGGTGCCAGTTGACCTAAACAGCTGGGTCCAACCTGTCTCAAAGCCAGCTGCATCTGCATAGCAATTTAGTCTCCAAGTCTACCTCTGGGACTCAAGGGCACATTCTTCCCAGGCTCATACCTTCCTTGGGATGTGGGCTGCTGCCATTCAACTGCCTTATACCCTGAAACCAGTGTCTGAGGCGTCTTTGGCTCCCCAGTCACAACTGTTCCCTCTGAGTTTCTCATTTCATTCCCAGAATGGGCAGCCAGGTAGAAAAACAAGAAATGCAGGCTTAGCAAAGGAATTTGACAATCCTAACTTTATCTTAGAACTCACAAGAATTTTCTATCTTTGTATGCAAAAAAATATTTGCCTCAGTCTTAGACCTGGTTATTAGGGCAGGCTGATGGGTTGAAAGCATCCTAATCTGAGCTCACACCTCTCAAGACTCTAAGGTTTGCTGGCATTTGAGGCTCCAACACAATCACCTGCAAGCCCTTCTTGCATTTGACAATGGCTGCCTGCTTCCCCCAGCATAGAGGAGGACACTGTCCTTGGGAACAAGCTATCCACTTCTGAATCCTGCAATCCTGACAGAAAGGATACCATCCTCCAGTCATGCTCACCCTTTTTCTCTCTGCAGGTCTCCATTTAGAAAGGAAGTTATTTCATGGGAGTGAGCTGACAGAGACAGTGACTGACCCTCAGGATGGTAGCCTTGATGGCTCTTGGTTCCTTATCAAGGTGGTATTACAATATTGCTACTCCTGAGAGCAGGAATTCATCAGGCAACCCTCAAAAAAGGTGATTAGGTTTACCTACTAATGTCTATAAGTGTCAATAATGTGAACAGACGGTTTACTAAGTACTACACATGCTAAAATGATACAAGTTCCTTAATGCATACATTTTGGCTCTAGGACCCCTCAAAAGTTGCTAGAGCTAGCAACAAATCTGCTAAACTGGCAACACTGGCCAATCACTTTTCCCAGGCAGGCAGTTGCCTGGAAAGCAGAAGTCTTTGGGCAAGTCCAGGCTTGTATATTCAGCCTCCTACATTTGAAACGCCAATGCAGAGTTTATTATGCAGACATAACCCAATCCATCACAGCCACCTTCTGCTTTAAATAACTGTTAGGTGACTAAGGGACTAGGCAGTAGTATGGGAATTATTGCTCAGTTTAGGATTCTAATTTGCCAGTTTCTGGAAAGCCTAATTTATAATGGATACACCTTAATTGCTATGGCTATGTCAGTCTACAACATTACTAAGTATCATGTTAAGAGCCCTATTTTCATTTTAATTTAAATAGTTATTCTACAAAAATTATAATGCTATAAACATTTATTGCTCCTAAACTGGGTGAAGTTAGCAACATTACCAGGGCATTTTTGCACATCAATTTCTGCCAGCATCAACTGCAGCACAGTTACATTACTTGTGGCAAGTGCTAGGACCGAGAAACACTTGTAATAAGCCCAAAGAATCTTAAGCAATTGCATCATCTCTCAACATGGAGTCAGAGAATACAATAGCAAAAGCCTTTTTGGAACACAGTAGAAAAAGTATCTCTCTTCTTTTTATTTACAGAAATGAATGAAATGATATAACTACAAAGCTTTCTATCGGATAAAGTCATACCCCTCCTATAAAATAAACCACTGCTCAGCCACCCAAAATGCTAATTAATTAAAGCAGGTATTTATCCCAAACAATGCCCATTAGCACAGACATAGAATGCAAAAAAGGGCACATGAGTGCTGGGCAGGCTGAACCCCTGCACCACCACATTGCTTCTGAGTTCAATAT